CGGAGAACACGATTGAATTCGCCATAAAAATCGGCAACTTTTCATAGTAAATATCTCTAGTCAATTTAATAAAGAAAACTTTTTATTGCGTGTTTACCTCCCAGCTGACAATAGAAATAAACTACGGATGTAGACTAGGGATAAAGGAGCACTTTAATGGATAACCATTTTACTAATTCATTATTATCATAAGATAACCACAAATGTCCCGAGTTAATGATTCAAGATGGCGTCATGTAAACGTGCATTCCTCGATGTAGCCGCTAGTTCCCTACATCCCTACATTATGGACGCCATCTTGGTATTTTTTCATTTTGTGATTGTTAGAGTCCAGGCTCCATGGAAAATACTATTTCGCTGACCTCAGAATGACATTTCGTCAAAACATTTTTCTTCAAGATTGGTTTAGAAACAAACTTGGAGTAGGGTTAGGCTAGGGATGGGATTAGAGTTGGTGTTTGGAATAGGGTTAGTGTTAGTAAAACCGTTGCTTTGTTACGTTTTGTCACTTTGAGGCCGGCGAAATAACCTCTTCCAGGCTCCATGCGTGGAATTGACACTGATCTCAAAATTCTATTTAGAAAAACTGGAGTAAGAAATTTAATGAAAATAAGAACGTGGCGCAGCACAGATAGTCAAATTTTTAGGCGTATAAAAATGCTTTTGAAAGCTATAAAACTACTGATTTGGAGCCCAAAAATAATGAAAGGAATTTTAATTTATAAATATTAAGTTTTAATCTGGGTTTTACCAAAGAATGGTCGTATTTAGAAAGTTTCACAATATTACTATTCCATCGATAGGCGCGCTATCCAAGAATACCGAATAGAAGGTAATTCATTGTTTTCGCGTGTGCGCTATTCGTCATGATTCATCACTGAAAGAATGTCTTAAACAAAAGCCATCACTCCCCTGACGTAAGCGCTATTTTGAATGTTTCCAGGGGGTGACTGCTTCTGTTTAAGGCACTTGCTGAGTGACGAATCACCAAGAATAGCGCATACGCAAAAAAATCACAATAGAGATGTCCTTTTGTTTAGTATACTGTCCCTTCATGGACTTTCTGTGAGGTATTCTTTGCTCGAACGTTAGAAATTATACGTAAGATGCGAGTCAGCAGTCGTATCAATGACGTAGCACAGAATAATATATAGATACAGAAAAGCAACACATTGCGTTCAGCCCGAAGCCCTTTTGTTTAGCGTCCACCATCTCCCTGAAAAGTAAAATTGCAGCAAGTAAGTTGTAATTTGTATGGGGGAAATCGTGAAGCAAGTATTTCTATGTTTATCACCAGCTTGTTTATTATTTGAATCGATAAGCTTTTTTCCAGTTCACTTTTCAGTGTTTACGCTATATATATATATATATATATATATATATATATATATATATATATATATATATATATATATATATATATATATATATATATATATATATATGGAGAAATCTATCACTAGAAGGGAATTTATTATCACAAGGTAATCCAGACTGTTTCAAGGTTTGCAACTCTTGTTCATCTTCTCTTATGGATGATTCCAGTTATAGATGAAGTTTTGATCTAGACAAGAAGAACGAAATCCATTACCATAGCTGGAAAGAGCATCTTAAAATGAGTAAAATTGCAAAGTTTGGTTGCGAAATGTTGTAAAATGAGGAAAATATAGCTCTGTGAAGTTCGCAAATTTTCTATATATTTTACCAAATATACCAAACATTGCAGTTTTACTCATTCTAGCAGTGATGTTGGATTTAGTTCTTCTTGCCTAGATCAAACGTTAGTCCATTGCCTTAATCCCTCACCTTTTCTGCAATGTCTACCACCCCACATCTTCTGGTCTCTTAATTTCATGTCTCTAACTGGTTATCTATAATCTCTTCTTATTACATATTCATATAACACTTCAGCCTTGCTTCTCTCATCTTTCTGCAATGTCTATACCACCCCACATCTTCTGATCTCTTAATTTTATTGTTTCATCGGTCTACAGCCTACCAGGGTCTTCACCTGAAATTCTATTAGCATTGGAAAAAATGATTCAGTCAATTGACAATGAAAACAAAGAAATGTATATTTTAGGTGATCTAAATTGTGACTTGATTAAGGACAACCTGAACCAGTCTTCAAAAACGCTTAAGGGTATTCTTGAATTATACCAATTATCACAACTTATTACTGAGGCAACAAGAATAACAAAGAATTCAGCCACTCTTATTGACCACTTTATAACATCTAGTCTAGAGAAATTAAATATGTCAGGAGTAATACATACGGGAATTAGTGACCATAGGTTAATATATGGTATATGGAAAATTAACCCTGTTTCAAAAACTCGCATGAAGGAAATTAAGATTGAAATTAGAAATATGAAAAGATTTCATCAGGAACGTTTTAATGAGGACCTCCTTAGACAACCATGGGAGAATAATATTGTCTTGCAATCAAATACAGACTGTATGTGGGCACTTTGGAAAGAGTTATTTCTAGAGATTTTAGATAAGCATGCCCCAATCCACCACCTTAGGAAAAGATCTTCCCCTATATCCCGTAGCTTGATGCTGAGATTAAAAACTTTATGCACGATACAAACAGAAATAAACGGAAAGCCATGATAACTAATCTATGTGCTGATTGGGATCATTATAAAAATTGTAGAAACAGGGTTAATGTTGCTTTACGTAACGTTAAGTCTAACTATTACTGCACTAAAATAGCTATTCAAAGAAATAATCCCAAAGAAGCTTGGAAACAATTAACAATCTATTGGGTCGGTCTGCCACTCATTCAGTTGTGAATGAATTAAAAATTAATGATGTTACCATTAATTTGCCTGAGGAAATATGTGATGCTTTTAATGAATATTATATCAATATTGGGTCAAGTCTTGCTAATTTAATGCAGAATTCAGATTTTACTTTCGAACAATATATCAAACCTGCTGTTACTAAAATGACAGGTTTCAAATTATTGCCAGTGACTAAAGTAGATAAACTTTTGAGTGGGTTGCAGGGACGCCGGAACTGGCGGGGGGGGGGGCCTTCGTACACCACACTTGCTTAGGGGCAGGGGGCAGAAGTGCCCTTTTAGTTGTAAAATACTACGTGATAAATCACATTTCCAACGATGCTTTTTGTAGTAAAATCATGAGATTCAGGTAATTTATAGTTTATGTTTATAAAAATTTGGAAAAATTTTTGGAATTTAGGAAAATATTTTGAAGAAATGGGGAAAATTTAAGATATATGCGGAAAAATTTTTGACTTCACGGAAAATTTTGGTATGTCCGTAAAAAAATTTTGACCCCTAAAATGGTACACTGAACAAATTTTTTTTGGCGACAGGTGGGGAAGGGATAGGTCGCCCAAAAATTTCCATTGAAAAAACATTTTCCGGTAGATTTTGAAGTTTTGCTCTATAGAGGTGCCCTTGGTGTGCGTCCGCCCCCCTTTGCCTTATTATCATTCCGGCGTCCCTGGTGGGTTGTCAAGTTCTAAGGCAACAGGTCTTGATAAAATTTCTGGAAAGATTCTAAAAGCTGCTGCCGCAATTATTAGCCCATCTCTTATACACATTATCAATCATGCCCTTATATCATGTTGTTTTCCATTAGAATGGAAAATAGCTAGAGTATTGCCTTTTCATACTAGTAAAAAAGGTCTTCGTAATCAACTGGAAAACTATAGGCCAATTTCCATCTTGCCTGCAATAAGTAAGGTAATGGAAATAATTCTTTATTATCAGATTTATGATTCAGTTTCCAAGCAAACTCGTTACTTTCTAAACACCAGTTTGGCTTTCGTCAATTTCATTCAACAACTTCAGCACTTTTAGACAGCACAAACGGTTGGTATGTGAATATGGATCGCAAGTTGTTTAACTTGGTTGTGTTATTGGATTTAAAAAAGGCATTTGACGCTGTTAACCATGATATATTATTGCGTAAATTAGAGCTGTATGGTATAACTGGAAATGCCTTGTCAATGATACAATCTTACTTGTCTGATCGGAGGCAAAAATGTCAACTAGACAATGTGATGTCATCCGAGAGGCATGTTAAATGCGGCATTCCTCAGAGGTCGATTCTCGGTCCCCTCTTATTCCTTATATACATAAATGACTTGCCGGAGTGTCTCAATTATGCCACTCCTCGTTTATAACTGATGATACTAATCTTACAGTAGCTGGAAACACTGTTGATGAAATTGAATTAGCAATGAACGAGGATCTTGACTGCATAAAAGAATAGCTCTTGGTAGCAAAATGTAGCAAAAACCGAATTTATAGTCATTGGTACAAATAAGAAATTAAAAAGCCTTAATAACAATCAACCTAGCATTAAAATTGTCAGGTTAATTAAGATCAAACAAGTTCACCATAGCAGAGTACTTGGAGTTGGGATTGATGATAAATTATTATGCAATAAGAATATTGATAATGTAGCAAAAAAGGTCGCATCAGGAATAGGAGCTTTAAAACGAATTAAAAATTACGTAGACACAGATACGTTGATCTCTATCTATAATGCTCTGATCCGACCTCACTTTGACTACTGCAGTGAGGTATGGGATACCCTGGTCTCAGGACTTTCTCAAAGGCTCCGAAAACTCCAGAATAGAGCAGCAAGAGTAATAATGAACATGACTAATGATACTGCTGCTCCTCAAGCATTAAACGCGTTGGGGTGGAAAACTCTTCAGACCCAACGTGCTGAATCAAAAGCAATAACAATGTTTAAAGTTTTAAATGACTTAGCTCCGAGTCCACTGACTGAATTATTTGTACCTAAAAACAACGTTACGGATTATAATCTAAGCTCCTCAACCTCGTTGCAATTATCAATGCCTAGAACTGAAAAGCTTAAAGAGGGGGTACAGTCCGTACTGCGCATGTGCGAGATGTTTGTTTTCTGGGGACTCCACCGGAACTTAATTTATTGTTCCCAGGCTTTCTAACCAATGCGCGCCGCGCGTTTTGTTTATAGCTAATATTAAAAATGGCGGATCGCACTCCCTCTCTGCCTTCCACATCTAAGGAGAGTAGAAAGGAATATTACAACATTAGAGATGCTTCTAAAGTTTATTTATTCGGTGTTTTTCAACGATGGAGAGAATTTAGAGATGCCAATAATATAAAAACGGACAAGGACGCCGCTGAAGTTTTGCTCGATACATATTATAATTCAAAGTCGAAGAACTCATGGTAAGATAATAAAGATTTTTATACTAGAATATTTTACACAATTATAATGTAAACTTTGACTTTGTATCTAAAATATTTTTGTGTTTTTATATTGTCTTACATCTAAAATGTTTAATATTTCCCTGATGCTTTAGTGTTAGCGTGGAGAGCCAAACTGATCCTGAAGAAGTGGGGCCTGTTTCATCGACTGCTTGTCTGCAAGAAATTCAACCAATTACTCCTCGTTCAGGCCCACAGACTAGACAAGCT